TGTTGTTGGGACATTAACATAATCCGTCTGAAAATGCAAAAAAAAAACAATTTTACTTACAAAGGAGCGATGAGCCCATACTAGGACAAAATAAGAACTGTTGACCAACGCCCAACAAAGAAAAGGCATTACAAGAATCGACTAAACCACCGGAGATATGCTTTAGCGGATTTCGTCATCAAATAGCTTTTAAGGATACTGCACATATTTGATTGTATCTGCAGCTGCAATATGAGAAAAAAGGTTACCCGGCAGTCGTCTGCGGTGTAGAGACGGCGAGCAAGATTCTTTCCCGCCTGAATAGCGAGAGGAGTCAGTTGATAGCCAACGTTGTTAACGTCGCCAATAGCATAAATGTTTGGAACATTTGTGCACTCCTCGTCATCAACATTGATGCGACCACTTGTGAGAAAAATGGGATCAAATGCGTCATGTATCGTGCTGGAAAAGCGTAATTAGTGTTAACTCACTCGGTGGTCTTGACATCGACATTCTGTAAGCCAATGTTGGTTGTGCAGGGATCACGCCCCACTGCAAACAGAACCTACAGCGAATGACAGTGATCAAGACCCGATCTCCCTTACGCCTATTTTCATTTATGCAACTGAGAACATTACGGGAACAGCACCACGTTTGAGAAGCAACAGCGAATTGGAAGATATTCAAGCGCGGAAATTTCTGAATGGGTTTCAAATTGTAGAAATGCCCAACGCAAACTAAAAAATGCATTTGAGCTTACTGTGTTAAAAGTATCCTTAAACGGCGTCCCATCCTCGTATTTACCCTCAACCTCATAGATGGCAAGTTTGTTCGATCCTGGATCATACTCCTCCAAGCATCGAACCTGAAAGACAAATAGACACTATGTACATGAACTTAAACCAAAAGAGCACGTTGATAAACGAGGCACAACATCGATAAATCCCGAACATCACCTACGAATCTCTAAGGCTAGCACTTCAACGGAAAGAAGGAATGACGTGAGGTAAAAAAGGCTTATGGATGGGCCTTTCAAGTAGGTGATAACTTTTAATGCGCGTTATATAAACAACCTCAAGTGTTCAAAATCGGATAAACGCCCAAGGCAACGCCCAAAGCCACGCCCAGCGCACTTTCCCAACATAGGAGCAAAGATGCTACACATTTCTCGCTATAGATGAATGACA